GTGTTCACATTGTGGTGTATGGTGGTTGGTTGAATTGTGTTTGTTATGCTTTAAAACTATGTAACTGATACTGGGCAAACCCCTTAAAAAGGCCTGGTTTGTGCAATAAAGCAGCTCTCCTTTGCACCTGCCTGGGGACTCTGTGTCACTATGGACCCTCACCCACATCTGGGTGCAACAAAATGAATATGATAAAAATCACACATATTTGGAGATTATAATTGACTGTTATGGATGGAGTCTAACTAATTAGGGTTCCATGAAACCAGGCGACTTGAGAAATGTAAATGCAATTAAAGAGGCATAATAAAGTATAGCATCATAGAAAATGCTTTGGTGTTTTGTAGTAATGGAAGTCTGCCTTGCTTGGAAAATGATAAAGCAGACAAAGTGTATTTCAAAGAACACCATGAGAAAGCAGGCATTTAAACATAGGTCTGAACCATCTGCAATTCAGATTTCTGTTCTTTCCTTTCTGTGTGTGATTCATTCCAACAGCACAGCAGATTGTCTACAGAGTATGATTTCAAAAGTTTTGGTTCCAAAAGTACAAACTCCTCCATCAAACATCTGGGTTATTGCATCTCCCCAGGACACTTTAATGCCTATTAATTGTTTCCCATTTTTTCAATTAAACATTCTTTAAATACACTACTGGAAGTGTCTTTTCTTTCATTTGACCAGCAGACCAGTTTTCCCATTTCAGCTGATCTCTGTGAAAAGAAAATTAGAATAAATATGTTTACAGGCCAGCCTATTTAATTTTAATTTCCCTTGCTCTCTGTTGAAAGAAGGCAATTTACTGCATTTCCCCTGGTCCTCAAGAAAGTTTTGGAGAACATTCAGTATCTGGAGAAGTTTGGTTTGCCTTTGTATTTCTTTTGGAACAGGTGCCAGAGTCCTTATTAAAATATGAAATAAAGACAACATACACTCCAAGATTATCTCTTAAAATCTAAGTAATATTTCATCTAGGATGGGAGATCAGTTGTTCTATTAGAAATAACTTTTTGCTGCCACAATATTAACAAAATTTGCAGTGTCCCAAAAAGACTTTCACCTACGCTAAAACAATTACTTATTTTCATGATTCATATGGAATAAAATTATAAGACTTCATGCCCTTCCATGACTTTGCAGCTTCCCAAAGCACCAGAGAAGCCTGATTGAAATTATTCATAATATATTAAGCTGTAGTGACTGATCTGATGGCAAATGTTATTACCCACAATTTTTCCAGAGAGGATGAATGCTGTAGTCTGAAACCCTTCACATTTTCCTTTCCCTTACACCACCTTTTTGGGCCATAAAACTTTGGTGAAAGACAAGATCTTAGACAAGACTGATTCATAGATCAAAATCTTTTCTATGGGATGGAATAACCAATTTTAAGGCAGGCCTGACTCATGTTTCTGCATAACAATCTTGAATCTGGAGTGGAATATAAGTTATAATTCCATGGTGGATATTTTTCCCTTATACAAAACAAGTTCTATTGTATTCCCTACTTCTCATGTTCCCATGGTAAAAGGCTTTCAGATTTAATCTGGCATGGTTTCTGTGTGTAAAGAGGAAATAAATAAGATCCTTCTGCAGATTTATTCATTAGCACCTACTGCCCCACTTATGCTGTCTCATGCTGGTTTTAACAAGTATTAACAGATAATCCATTGCCTCATAGGCTAATGCAACACTGAAAAGCTGGAATATTCAGCCAGATTGAAATTTCAAAGATAGACAGAAGAGGCAGTTTGCCATCCTACCCAAAGAGCTACAATTATTGACATTCTTCACCACATATGAGACCTTAAATCCTCAATATTTAGAAACTTGTGAAATTCCAGCTTTTTATTAAAAGTTGGCAAGGAGAGGAGTGCAGTTTTTTTTAATGACAAATCATTATCTATATGTGGGCCTAAGTTTAGTCCCTGTACAAGCAAACCTATTACTCTCCTGTTTAACCTGCAGCACATAAAAATAAAAATCTGCCCAACACATGCAGGAGAAACAAACAGAAATGACAGCCCCATGTGATAAAAGCCACAGCTCTGCAGGATCTTGCCCAGGAAAGCACATGCCAAATAAAGCACTGTTGATTATTTTGAGGGATGACAGGTACATTCATGGAGATGGAAAGTTTTGCACTTCTGACTTTATCAGGGAGAAGTCATTTGCTGCTTTGCTGAGAGAACAGTTTTGATACAATAAAACATAATTTTCAATCTTCTGAATCTCCTAAAAGCAAGAACTCATGAAGCACTTTGAGGAAGCGAGCACAGGCACACGTAGTTAATTCATTTAGAGGTGACTAAACAGAGGCATAAATTACTATCTTTCCTTTCTAGACTGTGTTTTTACAGGTTCCTTTTACATACTGCCTAAGAAAGAAAAAATAACTGAAAGCTAGGTAACAACATAGAGTACAAAATAAAATGTAGTTCAAAGAGCCAGGTTTTTCAGTGATTTCTTGGCATCTAAGAATGCAAACAAGTCCCATGACAGATCTTGTTCTGTGCTACCTTAGGTCGGTAGAATTAAACCCTCTTGAAAATGTCTCAGAAATTCAGCTGCTGGTAGCTCTTTAGGCACCTGTTTGTCTACGAGGCTGGTAGACACACCAATACAATGAAACTCAAACTTAACTTTCCAGTAAAATAATACTTTTAAAAAAAACCAAACAATACAATAATACTTAAAAAAAAAATTCCCTGTATGAGAACAAATACCAGGTGATATATAGTGCCCATGACTTTTCCCTATTTCACCTAATGACTGTGATTTTTCAGCAATTATTTGTTTATTTTTTTAAAGAAAAAGCCTCAGCACTGATCAAAGATCTTGACCCAATGTTTTTGGCAATAAAAGCTGTACAAAGCTTACCTGCTGTAAATGTAGCATCCCATGTGATTGATTTCTTTGTCCAGTTTATACCTCCTGAAGTCCTCCCAAGCATCTTTAATGGCTGTGATGGCCATTATGCCACAAATTGGGATCACAGACACCTCTGGTTGGAAAGCATTCACCACTGGCACAAAATTCAGCAGTGCAATGAACACAAAATAAATATTGGCAAAGCGGTGAAACTGCTCATAGATATTTTTAGGGAGGAAAGTTATGATGGTATATTTTGTGGTCTTAATTTCATTGGTGTCATAGTATCTGTTTGGATTTTCCTTCCACTTCTTGCTTCCAAAGGGCAAATTGGAGATGACAACACGTTTATTTTCATTTTTCTTCTTTCTTTTCCTTACTTTTCCTCTCTTCTCCAGCTCCTCATTTTGGATTTCCGTGTCTGAAGCACCACACTGGCAGCAGGTTTCCTTGAAAAAATGTTTTTTCCATGCCATTGTAGAGAAGCAGCCTGGAGCAATTTTCCTTGACATCTTGTTTTCCTTTCAAAAAGTAGCTCCAAGTTGAAAACCAGTGAAGTCAGAAGAGTTCAGCAGTCCAAATGAACTCCCAAATGGTGAAGAGAAGAGTTGAGATGTCTGAATCCCAGGGCTGCCTCCTCCACTCCAACCTCCACGTAGCCAGGGCCAGGGATCATCCTGACTCAGCTGCACCAGGTCCTAGATCCTGCTGGGGCAGCTGCACCTCACGTCTGCCAAAAGCATCCTGAATGTTTTGTTCTTCCTGCCAGCAGATGCCTGGAGGCCCTGCTCAGACCATTTCCCTCCCCTGCTCGTGTGAAGTGTGTCTGCTTTACCACAGAGCTGTGGCAAAGCTGGGAACACACACACACACACGATGTTCACAGGTCACTCCAGCAGTTTCAGGATCACTTTATAGCCCTGGGAGTTGCCAGGAAGCTCAAAGGTAATGGGCAGAGCTCTGTGTCCCAGATGTCAACAAAGGATTGCTACCAGCCTCAGAACAGACAGTATTTCTCTTTTATTTCCTCTATCTATTGTTTGTTTTCATGGCCATAAGATCGATTATTATTAAACAAACAACCAACCCCATTCCCCCAAGCTAAGTAAACCTCTGGTTTTGTAGCCAGAGGAATCAGACACAGACAGAAACAAGGGAAGTACAATGTACCTGGATTGCCCCTCAGCCTGATCCTTCTCCCCAGGCCCTCCTCTTTCTACCTGGACACCCCTTCCCCTTTGAGCCTTCTTCCTCTGACACAGAAATATGTCAGCACAGATGAGGGCTCATTTCCACAAGAGCTAATGACATGTATGTAAACCATAGCAATCTTTTTCTCTGTGGCTTGGGCTTAAGAGCAGGTGAAAAAAGGAAAGCACACAAATATTTAAGCTTATTTTAAATGAAAGCTCCTGTTTGCTTCACGATGCAGTGACAAGGTAAGCAGTCTCAAGTTAGTACTTGGACAAGAAACTCTGATGAAATCGAAATGTTGCAACAAGAATTGCAGTGAAATGATTTCTTCCTTCTGAGTCAGTCCTGAGCAAACAGCTTCCCACAGGTATTGCACCAGCTCCAAAGCCAAGCTGGCTTGTATTGATCTCTCTGCTTACTGGAAGTCCTAAAACTTTTTCATCTCCTGATTATTATATGATTTTGAATCCTGCTTTTTCATCTCCTGATTATTATTATATGATTCACCTGGAATGTAGTTGATCATTAATTTCTGTATTACTGGCTTTATTGTGAGACATTTGAAAGACTTTGTTCCAGTTTCTGTACAGCCCCAGTTTTCTGTTCCAGGCTTGAGTAAGTTCCATTTATCCTCCAGATCCTTCTGCTATGAGGAGAGGATGTTGTGTGTGTTGACAAGCTGCTCTGAAAACTTGAAATGAAAACCTGTATGTATCAGCACACACTGTTGTGATATGAAACAAAGCCTCAGTGATATTGAGATGATTTAAGTAAGATAAATAAGGCATTTTTAAAGATAGAAAAAAATATTTTGTAATGGTTCTTCCAAACTTAGAGTATTCTGAAAGGTTAGTGAGGGAGTTCCTGTAAAATCAGATGAGCAGTTTCTATGACAACAGAAGCAAGGAAACAAATAATAGATTTAGTTTACTTACCTGTCATATACCCTGGTTTTAGTGAAGTTTATTGTCTTATCATACTGGTATTTTCTGTAGTCTTCGAGAGCATCCTTAATCATGCTGAAAAGCAGCACCATGACCAGAGGCAGCATGGTAATCTCCCTGTGGAAGACTTCCACTTGTGGGAACCAGTTCAGAACCACCATAAAGAAAAAGTAAAGATTACCCAACCTGAAAAGGTATAAAATAAATTAAAAGTAGTCAGAAATTAGAATGTATCCTTTTCTTAATGAACAACCCCCATTCTGTGTCAAAGGAACATTAATAATTTCACTCTTCTACCCTGTTTTTCCTTTCTCCAGAACAAATTAATCAGCTGCTTAACCCAGATGCAAATTTTTTCTTCAGAAGAGCTTGTGACATAAATTTTCATACTATTATAGCTAGCTCCAGTTTTCTCACATGTTGGAAACAATATCTGTCTGTGGGATCTCCAAGGTCTTTAATGGCCCCTCAGTCTTGAAAATAAGCACAAAATTAAACAAAAGCCAAACAAACCTCAAAAAACTAACCAATGAATTTATAGAAATGTACCCATCAGGAATCCATGAAGGATTCTGCAAATGGCAGGTCAAATTATGAATGGGCCAAACTAGTATACAGAATTAAAATTTCAAAGCTAGAGATGAATCTACAACTTCCATTTCTCTTTATTGTGATGATGGTTCCCTGGAATCCAGTCCTCTTTGACTTGATTCTGTATGCTGGGGGTGGAGGGGTTTACATAATTTTAAACCAGCACTTGGAAAGAAACCTGACCTTGCACTTGCACATACATATATACTATTTCTACATTGGTAGACAGTCACTTTGTAACATTAAAAATGTATCAAAATTGAGCTGCTGAAATCTACAAAATTTCAGAGGTGTTCTCAACACATTCAATGAATTCCTTTTGTGCTCTAAAAACCAGAAGTTTATACAACACAAAACCAGAAGCATTTTTAAATAAAAATTTGATTTTTTTTTTACAAGGAGAACTCTTGCAGCATTCAATTAAGAAAGCTGGTCACAGCAGCAGTTAAGCAGTCCCTTGTTTGCTTAATCCACCATTTCAGTGTCAACTGAGAGCCATTTTGTTAAAAATTACCATCACCTGAATTTTAGTGCAGTTACAACTACGAAAGCAGCCCTTCTCCATCACACTCAAGTATCGCAGTTTCAGAGAGAGTTCTTGAATCTCAAGGATCATTGAATTGTTGCAGTGGAGACAGCCACGATACACAAAGTATCACCACACAATTTCAGAAAGCTTCAACCCATACAGAGCACCATCCCATCGCTTCAGAAGGCTGCAAGCATCTGCCCTTCCTGTTCTTTAGCCCAACCTTGTATCCCCTCCTGTTGATGCCCTGCCCTGTGCGCCCTCTGCTCCCTTGGGTGGTTGCTCAGTGCCCCTGGGCACTCCATGGCTCATTGCTGGCAGTGCTGCTCACCTGCTGCTCACAGCTGTGCCCATGGGATGGGGCTGGGCCAGCCCCACTCCAACCACCACAAACTGGGTGCCTACACTGAATGAATTTTTTTACCTGTGGAACTGTCTCAAAAGATTTCGGGGCAAAAAAGTGAACCATGTGTACTTCGTGGTCTGTATCCTGTTTCTAGAATAAACTGTAGAAGCTTGTTTCCAGTCCTTCCAGTGTCTCCCATTGTCAGGCAGCACAATCCTCCATGTGTTTAGACAGAGTTTTGGTTTGGCACTGGCAGAAAGCAGCAGAGGTGTTGATTCTGACAGAGCCCGGGAGGGACCGCGAGCTCCCCGTCGCTGCCAGCGGTACCGAGCCGAGTCCACGGACAAAGCCATTCTCAGCAGGGAGGGCAGCCTGAAAGACAAAGGCACGGCAAGGGCTGAAATCCAATTCCACTCTGGTAGAAAACTCCCTTCGTGTTTTGCAAGCTGAGGTTTAACACAAAGACAATTCTCCTGCTCAGTGCAGTGCATGTTCTTCGATCTCAGAACTTCTGTAGAGAATGCAGAGAATAAAAGACACAACAAAATCTTCAATATGAGAAAATCTATTTCTATCTCTGGGGACGGAAAAAATATCTAAAATCTATTTTCTGTGTCTTAGAACAGCAAATTGACAGAGATAAAGCCAATTTAACAGTGGTGAACATCGACTTTTCCATCATGAATCCTGTATCCTATTTTTCAAATTGCAAAGTGCCACCAAATCTATTCAGGCATTTTTCTTAAAATGTCTGAATTTCTTACAATACTTTTCCTGTTCATTCTTACTTATAGCAGGACTGGTTCAGGTTTTGAATCTTAATAGCTCAGATAATAAAGAGCTGCAGCATCAGCTTAATCACATTCACACACAGGTAACAGTTTTCCAAATTTCTTCAAGGAAATCTGATTTGAAAGAAAAACCCCAGCCAGCATTAAAACAATGGATGTTTTATGGGTTGGAGAGATAAAGGAATTAAATCTCCCAATGTTAATCCTATTATCACTGAAAATTTGTCTCCTGGTTTGCTCACACATTCACAGCTGCAGGTGTGATGCTTGGGCTCCAGCCACAAAACAGTAGCTGCTGTAATGCTCAATCTGAACACAGCAAAATCTCACTCAAACAGCATGAGTTTGAGAACAGAAAACTGCCATACAGTCACAAGGCACTAAATGTGCAAAAGCAAACCAAAAAATAAAAGGTACTGGCCTTGTGCAGCTTCAAGGTTCCACTGAACAAAACGTGAACTGAATCCACCTAATTTAGACTGGGAGAAATACAGAGTATGTGGCTTTCTTTAGGAAAAAACCAAATCCTTAATCATATTCAAAATTATGTGTACATTTGAGTCTTGGAAGAAGAGAAAACTACTCTGCCAGTGGGCAAATTAATGAGTATTTGACTGAAATCAAAGTTATATTCAACATATACTACCTTAGAGCCATGTCCTTACAGTGTAATCCTTAAACTGTGGTGCTGAAGGATTTCATAATGAAAAGGCAGAAATTCCATTGTTGGTGGTTACCAAAACCACACAGTGAGTACTCAGTGAAAACACTGTAGGGAAATGATGCAGCTTAGATTTTCCAAGTTAAAGGCTGGACACCTGGAAAATTCTGCCACCTTGCTCTTGTTCTGAGCAATTAACTCCCCAGCTGATTTCAGCTTAAATTAAGGTCTGAACAGTGGATGGAAAAGTGGCCCAGATACAGACTGTACTACATACATTTTTAACCACATTATACATATACATATCTCCTCATATAAGCTGCAGGTGACAGAGTTATTCACTACCTATCAGAGCAGCTCATTCTATGTCTGAGATACATCAAGGTAGGTTGAAATTCCTTAGAATTTATAAATGAAAAAAGCAATAATTTCAGGCATATTGCTAAAAATAAAAGCAGACAAGATTAATTAAGGCAGCTTTACACATAATAGAACCATGTCTTCCACAACTTCCCCTGGGAAACTTTTTCTAAAGCTTCACAAATCACAATTAGGAAAGCCTGCTTGACATTCAAGAGAGGGTCTCTCTGCTCTCCATCTTAACAAATTTCCTACTGTACAAATGAATTAATGGGATGACTTAGTTTTATTCAGTTTGGAACTCAGCCCTCCTCCCAAGTGTCTTTGAAAAGCAGTGGTCAAACAGTGCCATATCCACGGGGAGAGGCCAATTGCTGCCATCAGGCAACTGAATGTGTTGCAGGAAATGCAGAGATTCCTCATAAAGCACACAGAACTAAAGTGCTCTGTGGGGGGAATTACACAACTACAAAATGAAAACAGCAAGATAATGGCTTTCCTGACTGTGAACTTCAGTGCTGAGAGTGAAAAAGTAGCAGAAGCAAACAAAACTTTTAATTTCAGATCACTAAAAACATAAAGGATACTAAATGTGCCATCAGTGTTAGCAAATCACCTAACAGGAAAGAAGAAAGAACCCAAAGATACATCCTTCTGTCAAATGACAGTTTTCTATAATTCAGACAACTCACAAGAATATTCCAGCTTGCTGGAAGTTTGTTGTGTTATACCATCTTCTGTATGGCAGGAAATCTACAAAACATATTGCTCTCTTTTGGCAATATATTTAATGTGTTTGTCCCAACTCTTTCTGAAAAAGCATCTTAAAATCCATTTTCTGCAATTCTGGAATATTTTACACACTTGTTTGATTTATATTTTCACAGAGATAGCATTGAAAGAACCCATGAAGTGTGGATTTTTTCAACATACTTTTACAAAAGTCACTGGCTTGCTTTCATCTGGTCAGTGAAGCTTCAGCACCACAATCCATATCCTGAAAGAGAAACATCAAGGGGATGCAGACTTTCCCAACACTATCTTGTTTGGGATTTGCCACCTATTCCACTTCAGCATAGTGGTCACAACAGGTGATTTTTCCAGTGCTGGCACATTTAGAGCTATCTCAGCCTTGCCTGAGCTCCCCTTTGACAGCCACTTCTGAAATATTGCCTTCAAAAGGAGCCAGGAAGCTCCTGCTTGATTTCTGACTGGGACTTTGAGACTTTCCATGGGACAAGGCCAGACACAGCAGGCAGGGCTGCAGAAAGTGGCATTGTACTGTCACCCTGTCCCTGAGAAATACATGGACAAGCCATGGCTGGGCTGCAGCTCAGCACTGCCAGACTTGACAAAAGGGAGGGCAAAAAGAAGTCATCTATGTTCTTAAAGAACTAATAAGTAGGAGGCAGCCACTGCAGGTAAGCCATGCAGAGGAATATCCATGACAATTCCCCCTCTATTGCTATATAATCATATAGCAGAAGCTTTTAGTGTCTCATTGTTCAGTCTTTTCTAAACTTTCAGTCAATTAATGCTGTTATCATCATTCCCTAATTGAAAACCTAAAAAAGTTTCAGTTTCAAGAAACTATTTACTCTTTCTTTCTATTCTATTACTGATGGGTGCATTGTGGGCAGTTTTCAACAGGGCAGATACAGTTTTCCCATCTGTAATTCCCACATGGTTTTCTAGTGCAGTCTAGCCTAGGACATGCCCCCTCCCCCCTTGTGTAGATGCCCCTCAGAATTTCTGAACTCACAGAGATATATTCATTATATAAAATTATAACAGATCATTACTTCTTTTATTCTTCCTTTTAGGAAAAGCACTCCTCCCCACAGTCCAATTTTTTGTCACTCCTCTGTGCTTCCAGTGGAGGTACTACAGTCCCGAGAGAAGGGCAAAAATCTAAAACATATCTAGGTATCTCAATTCCTAAACTTCTGCATCTGGAATGAACCAGACCAGCAACACAGAAGTGATTAAACTACTATCTAATTATAGCAAAGGTGACTTCCCATGCAGAAATATGTCAGCTAGAGACTCAGTTACACTAAGATGTGAGATGATAAATGTGCAAGATGGTGTCAGTGCAGGAGGGTAGATGCAGTACTCACATTATTTCACAAGCTGCATCAAAATGTCTGAAATATGAAGCAGTAACAAAAGTGTGAAAACCTTTACACCTCTCCCAAAAAGCTGTGGAAGAAAGGGTGTCCCAGAAAGTTTTCAAGATTTCTGATATTTGATGGAAGAATGAAGTGAATGATAGGCTGTAAATTAAAATGGTATCATTCACAATGTCATCAGGCAGCTATTGAAAAAAGAGAATTTCTTTGCAACAAAAGGAGCACTGGCACACTCTTTCTGCAGATTCTGGAGTGCCATTTGGTAACTTGTGTCATCAGCCAGTTCAGAGGAACAGTGTGAGAAAACAATTTTTCTTTGTCATTTGCATGTGGATTAAAATATCCATCTTCTATTAACTAAAATAGTGCATGTGCTATTCCTGGAAGGGACACTTTTTGCCTAACAGTTTTGTAATGGTGCCCTGAAAAATTCCTGTTTGTGAAAAGCTATTGACAAGCCTTTCTCCTAAGGGGGATTTTGCATATCACAACAGTAAAGTGTTCACTGCAATAAGCAGCTGTTAATTCTACCTTATAAAACCAAGGCCACCATTCATGTTTTGAAAGCCTCTTTTATTTTCTTCTTCCTGTGTTTAATCAGTGAATGAAACTTCCCTCCTTGGCAGGATTGTACTACATTTCTGTCCTAAACATCTGTGAAGTCACTGTGATTTATCCTGCACTGTGATAAACTTTCACAGATAGCCTGTGCCTGTATTTATCACATAATGCATCCAGGGCACATGAACACATTTGAAAAAAGAGAGGAACAGGGTAAGTATTTATTCCTTTTGTTGGGAGAGCTGAAAGGCACACTGGGTTGGCAGAGACAAAGGGAATCACCCTGGCAAGTTGTTTCCAAGTGTGGATTGTAACATGTACAGACAGGTCTGCACATCACAGATGAATTACCTTGTACTTACCTGTCTCCAGCCTTCTCAGGCAGACTGTTGTTTATTTTAAAATTATTTTATATATTTCATATGATAATGGGAAACTGTAGGCATTTTTTATGCAACTTGTGGACTTTCTTTTTAAGAACTTAACAAGAAAGAAACCAGAGGGAAGATAGCACTGTACACCCTAGCATGCAGTGGACACAATTTGGCATTTTCATCCCCAAACGCTTTGTCTTCTAGTTGTGAGTACTGCAATTGTAAGCCAGCAAAAAGTATTCAGGAAATACTTCCCTTTATTGGAAAAGGGATGATGCAACAGAGCACTGAGGGTGTTTTCCTTTTGCACCCTTGTGCAGACACTGAAAAAGCCCTTCTCAATTTTTCATAGCTAGCCTATGTAATTAACATTCTCCCTTGGATTGCTTCATCTCACCCAATACTAGAGAAGACTTCTCTTATGTGACAGAAACAGACTGCATTAGAGAGCTATGCTGGTACTATTAGCAGGGAAGGACACGTTGTGGCAGATAATTTAGGAGCATTTTTTCAAATGCTATCTCTCTTTTGAAGACTCTTGTATGGAAAAAAAGTATTGTTAACTGTAGGAGAAAGCTCATCCAAAAGTCAGCAATAAGAAAACAATTTTCTCTCTTTTGAGGTTGCCTCATTTCTTCCAAATAACAGACTCAGCTGCAGATCTCTGCATCCCAGACTTAAAAGGCTGGAGAAAGGAGTCCTGCCTCTCCTGCATATGCAAAACAAGTTTTACACAATCATGCCTTGTGCTGTTTATTAAAGGGATCCACATTAAATGAAAAACAACCCTGCTCACAGGCATATGTAAAAACAAATTCAGAAGGTAGAGATACAAAACAGTCATTTTCAGAGCCATCAAAGAAAGACAGGATCTGCACCTTGTTTTATAAAGCTAGTTTTTGGAACTTCAGGGCAAAATTTCAGACATGGTGGAGCTTATTTTTGAAAATCAGTGAGAAAGTGCAGTGGTAGGATTTGCTTTCAGGAGTGTGCATTATCAAGAATTATAAATAAGTAAATGATTCCACGTTTTGACCTGATATTTTCACTTCTGCCTTACCTGTAAATCAAGAAAGTCTCAAATAACACAGGTTCTCTCTAAGGCTTTATTCCATTATTCCAAAATTTTAATTTTATTTCCTAATTGAAAGCAGCAAGCAACTGTTCTTGTTGCACCCTATGGATGATGCAGCATCCATTCAAAAGAGCCATTCTGGGGAAGGATTGACCAGGGAGATAAACATTACCAAGTGAACTGAGTATTATAGAAATTTCAGCCACAAGCTTCTTTATCTGCTTTGCAATTATCTGCTAGAAAGCTCTTTCATTTTTGGTGATTCTGTATAGAAATTCTTCCTCGGTCACAGTTCAGAGACAGAATCAAGTAGTTAAGACTAATGGGAAGAGGAGATTGGAAAGAGGAGATTGGGAAGAATGAAGAATGCAGTTGTATTGATTAGCAGGATACAGACCACAGCCTAAAATGATCCTGTAGCATTTTATAGTAGAGCTATAATACTTGCAGAATTAAAGGAAATTGTTCGAATGAAAAAAGAGCTCCAAAAAACGACTTCATTCAAAAATCTTAGTGCAGACTGTTGTCATTCAACTGACAAGAGAAATGTATTATGGATTAACAATTATATAATGGTTTTCAGTCCAAGGTTGTGTTTGTGGGGGATAAATAGAAAAGAGCTTTTCATAAATCTAATACGTCAGAGCACAGAGCTTCACTGCTCTGTTGCTGTATTAGACTGACACATTTTTCATGTCTTAGATGCTCTTTCCTTGGGGAATAAACCCCAAAACCTTGCAATAATAGGTTAATTAAAAGGCTCTTTGCTGAGCCCAGAGTTCAGTGCTGGATGCAGAACTTTGCTGTAGCTGAGCAGTGCAAGGCATGTTCAGGCAGCTCTCCCTTCTGCAGGGCTGCAGCTGTGTTATTGAGGCTGGTTTCAAAATGGATGTGCTCTCAGCATATGCTGACATACAGGTCATGCAGACAAGGATGATTATCAAATATTATTCAAGAGGGAAGTTTCCAGCTTGCAAACAGTAATGCTGGATGCTGTGTTAACTTCATTCTGTGAATAAGGAGCTTGCTCAGGTCTCCCACATGATGTGCTCATTTAAATAGAGAGTTAGACTAAAATTATCTTGCTGCAAGGAATATCACTGCTGCCAGCACGCCCAAGAACTACAGTGGGCTATTATTACATTTGGGCCCACTGTACTTTTCACAAGTGTAGGCAGAGGCAGCTTCTGCCACCTTTCAAAGCAGGGATTGCATTTGCCCAGCTCACATTTTCAGCTGAGGAGACATTGGAAAAAGACACTTGCATAGAGCCCTTACAAAGCCCAAAATGGCAAGGTGTTACTTGGAGACATCAGATGGAAACAGCAGCCAAGGCTGTGGCTGTCATGACTTTTCCTCTGGCTTTTCTTACTGCCAGGCTTTGGCAGTGGATTCCTAAAAATATTTTATGTGCATATATATTTTTAAATAAGTAAACATAGTT